GTCGGAATTTCGTTTGGGTATAATGCTATTTATACACTTCATGTTTTGAGTACAATTCTTTTGTCATACAATAGTTTATAGTAAGGCATTGCATTTTTGATTTGCTTCACACCATATTCAGGAAGACCTTCCATATCAACATTGGTATTGGACATTGGCAAAAAACAACTACTCTGAAGAGCTTTGCTTTTAAACGACTCAGCTGATAAACCCTGACTGTATATTGGATGCCAGTGACCATTGTTGTAAGGTTCCCATTTCAACATCTTTTCTTGAAACTGTAATCCCGCTTTCTTGCAATATTCTTGTAGCATTTGACGTGGATTATTACACAGGTCATGTGCATCAATAACAATGGCTTCCTGTCCCAACATTTCTGTTACATACACAAAAAGGTCATATAGTTGTTTTACACCACCGCTATAGGGCAACCAATCATCAAATTGGTATCCGCATCCGACAGCCGCTTTGTAATAACTTGGGATTATTTTTTTCGGATCTCTGATTAGAAACGTGTGCTGATACCCACGTGGTAGCCAACTGTATACTCCATCCAATGCAAATGCGAGTTCTTTGACGAAAATTCCGTCTTTATGTGGGTAGTCTTTCTCTAACATGTCTTTAACATTTTTATACTTATACCCTTCAACTAGAACCGCTTTCTCTCTTACTCTTTGCCTTTCTTCGCCCTAATAATATGATATTCCATATGGTTCGTGGAATATTTCCATTATTCCCACTGATGCCATGGAGAGCTCTGTGATAGTTGACAGAGAACGAGGACAGGTCCACAACATAATACGATGGGGGTGGTTGGTGGAAATCATTTCCATACCTATTATGACAAAGTTAAATAAATAAACAATTATGAAGATGAGGTATTTGTAACAACCAGACATTCGAGGAAAATTGCTCATATGAAATTCAATAACAGGTTCTACCAACAAATTGGTACATCGTACATTTCAAATTGATTAGACAGTCAAAAGTTAATCGCCAGCAGCATTTACATGTATGAGAATATCTGGTATTGTTGACTGTGAACGTGGACAGAGGCCCTAATTAATATTAGTCGTTCTATATCAAGCGATTTTTTTCACATAAATCTGACACATCATTCTGTCTAATATGCATGTGTGTAAAGTGAATGAACATAACATGTTTAATATTCGTTAATCACAGATGCACCCTGTACCTCCAGAACGAATACATTTACAGTCTTTTTCAAATTAACTGATCAAAAATAATTTTCACAGTCTTGAACTTGGCATTTTGTTCGGGTAAGTACCTGTCGTCTGCATTCAGAATGTGCTCGTTATATTGCCCGTGACGAACGTGAACTGAACTTTTAAGAACAAAGAAAGATTTGTTTTCCAAGTTCAGGAAGATATGCTTCCAGACAGTTGTTTTCAGGTGACATTTGTTTCTTTTCACAGTGAG